GGAGCAAGCCAGGGCAGAGGGAGAGATGGGGGCTGTAAGCAGCAGGGACAGAGGAAAGCACAGTCCTTGGGAGAAACAAATGAACAGATGGACAGGGAGCAGGAAGCAGGGACTTGGAAGAAGACGGTGGGGTGATATGACAGGCTGAGCTGAGAGGTTCTTTTCACTGGCCTCAATTTCTCAGGGAAGTGAGTCAGGAAAACTGCTGAGATGAAGAGGGTTAAAGGGGCAGATTATGTGAGGAGAGAGGAGAAAGCTGAAGTCCTAGTCTTAGAGAAAATGAGCTCAGCTGTAAAATTATCCTGGGATTAACAGTCCCATTTTGAAATCATGGGGTTAAAATTAGCAAATGTCATAATGCCTGACTGTAGTCTCAAAATTCGTCTTCTACCAAAAAGCAAGGCTACTTGGAGAAATGGTCAATTCCAGACAAGAGAAGAAAATGGGCAAGATGAGGCCATGACTGATATATCTACCAGAAGACAAAGAGCTGAAGGCCGGGGATTTAGCTCAATGGCATCTTGCCTGCCTTGCAAGCACAAGGACCTGAGTTGGATCCCCAGTACCAAAAAAAAATGACTGGGACAAAATACCCAACACCCACAGCTGAAAGGAGAAAATGTCTGTTTTGGCTCACAGTTTAAGTCCATCCCGGGCAGCTCCGAGGCAGGAAGGCAGGGTGGAAGGGTATGGTGGAGGAAAGGCTGCTCATATCTGACGGCCATTACAAATGGAGTCTCAGTGAGTAGATCACTTGCTGATGGGCGGATTTACTTTGCCAGTATACTCTTGGGGGTCGTATCTTTCTGAACCTCAGAGATGGACACATGACCTGATAAAAGGATATTTCCTGGGCTGGAAGTGTAGAGCACCTGCTTAGCATGTGTGAGGACCTGTGTTTGATCCCCAGCTCCACACATAAAGAAAAAAATGATATTTTGCTATTTCTAAAATAATTTGGATAAAAATTCTTATTCAGGTATAAAATCATAACAGTTGTACATTTAATGAATCCCTTTTAAGGAATATACAAATTTGTATGAAATCAAAACCAACCGAGGGCCGGGGATTTAGCTCAGTGGTTTTGCCGCCTGCTGCGCAAGAGCAAGGACCCAAGTTCCATCCCCGGTACCAAAAATAAAAAACCCAACCCAGAACACCCTGTGTCACATCATCCTCATTCTGTTGCAACACAAGTTAAGGCCCTCCTGAGAGATTATCTTCAGCATGTCACCACATTTCTGAAGTGGGGAAACTGGAAAACAGTCCAAGGAAAATAAAGGTAATGATAACAATGGAAAAGGGAGGGCATGAGGAGTGTCTATAGGAATCCAGGAGTGTTTCCCTGGGAGACGTGGAAAAGGAGGAGCTCAGAATCATTTATCCAAATTGGGGACAGGTTTTTAATAATCGGAAGTTGATAACTAGATTCTCATGTGTGCAGAGGGCCAAACAAGAAGAAACAGGCTGGGAAAAAATGAACTTATACCTCCACCCATCCTTGGAAAGTGCTCCAGTAAAGGGCAGTCAGCCATGACCGCCATATGATGAAATCCAAAGGACAATTCCCAGTCCTCGTCCTCCTTGATCCATCACACCTCTGGCCATCATTGACCTCTGCCTTGAAATACTTGTTTCCCTTGGATTTAGGACACTAGTGTTTCTCCTCTGGCTTCCAGATCAAAGAGTAAGAGGTGCCCATGCTCAGACCAGCCTCTCTTCTTTCTAATCAGCACTCAGCCCTGGTTAACCCACTCAGGCTCAAGTCCTTGAATTTCATCTACATGCTGATTTCAAAGAAAAAACAAAGATGGAGGCTATAGTCCAGCTCTACCCTAAGGCCAACCCATAACAATGTAACCAAAACCTAAGTCATCCCAATTCCCTGTGTGCTAGTCCCAATTGTAAATGAAACAAAATGTAAGCATCACATCTTTGTTAGCATGATTCAATGTAGTTACATCAAATACAGACAAATCAGCTTAAGGAGTTCTGTTTTCTCAAAAAAGAATGCTAACATGGGCCAGGGATATAGGTCAATGGTGCCACACCTGCCTGGCAAGCGCAAGGTCCAGAGTTTGATCCCTGGTACCAAAAACAAAAACAAACGAAAAAGAATGCTAACATATAACAGCCAACCACCCAAAATGTCAAGCCCTTCCTCCCTTAAACATCATACTCTATGCTGTAACTATCCTCAAGGGCTTTGCTACTTTCCGCTGGTGGTCTCCTTGTTTGCAAATTGTTCTTGTGTATCACAATAAACTTGTTATGTAGTTAAATCTGATTGCATTTTGGACACTGATGACCTCTATATTTACATCACTCATTACCTCCCAGCACCTCTACCCCTGGATTGTAACATATCCCGTTCTCTCAGCCCTCTGCAATCCTCTCGTCTCACCTGATGGCAGTACTGCCCTCCAAAGCCTCCGGCCTGAGGACTTGCCCTTCAGAGTTCAACATTTCTCACCACAGCAAGAAAATCACCTTGGTTCCAGCATCAACAGCAACCTCCTGGGTCACAGTAACTTTCTACCTAGTCTCACCTGGTCTGCCTCCCTCTGCCCTTGTGCTCAGGTTTCAACTCCGCAGCTAGGACATAAATCTGAGCAGTCGCTCCTGTGCCCCAAAAGCCAAGGTCATCACATGGCCTACTGCATGGCCCCTTTGTCCTCTGGCCTCCTCTCCAGCACCAGCCCTTGCTTTCTATGGTTCCTTGAGTGGACCAGACTGCTCTCTCCTCAGGATTTTGCCCTGGTAGTTCCCTGTGTGGTGAAAACCCTTCCCTCAAATGCCATGTGGCTCATCCCCTCATTGCAGCTCTAACTCGAACATCACTTCTTTATGAGGCCTTCTTAGGCCCTGTTTAAAGTTTATCAATCAAGCACAGTAAGAATCACTGCAAGAGACAACCAAAGAACTTGAGTCCCATGCTCCACAGACTAGCTGGTACTGAAAAGGTTCACTTATTCCTACACAAGGACCTCAGGGTGCCAACTAGGTACCAGAAACTGTCTTGGTGATATAGAAGGTAGAGCGTGGCAAAACTGGCTGAACAAATAAGTGGGACCTGTCAATTAAAAGATCTGAGGACAGTGCTAAATAATTCCCCAGACCCCGTATGTAGGACTTCTCACAGGCCCCTGCAAGATGTAGCTGACATATAAGGGATACAGATGCCATGAGGAGACTGCTTTTGTGACTCTTCACAATAGCCCACTCTGTGTCTTCTAGACCAGGGTATAGTTTTAGTTTTGCTTTTATTCTTTCTTTTCTTCAGCCTAAGCTTGCTCTCTGGAGTAAATGTCTCTCTTACCCCTTCACCTCACATTTTTCTTTCTTTTTTTTTTTTGATACCAGGATCAAACTTGGGACCTTGCACTTGCAAGGCAGGTGGCAGCACCACTGAGCTAAATCCCCAGCCCACCTTGAATTTTTCAAATAAACTTTTGGCACTGTTTTTGGCTTGTCTCATCAAACACCTCATTGTCATCTCATTGTCAAAGAACAATTCTTTGTTCCAGGTGAGAAGGACCTAGAATACGCTTAATTGGTGAGCCATCCCTAAAAGAACTACCCAATAACATTGGCACCAGGGATGTCCTGGGAACAAATAAGACTACACCAAACCAAACCAAAGAAGCTCTGTACAGTAGCTTCTTTTACAGTGGGAGAGATGAATTATAAATAGAAGTCAACTATATATGATGGTAGAGAGTAGTAATTGCTGAGAGAAAAAAAAACAAGGTAAGATATAAAATGTGGGGAATATATTAGTGTACTCTGGCTTTCATAATGAAATCCCACAGAGTGGTAGCAGAAACAATAGAAATTACTTTGTTCCTCTCAAGTGTGGAGGCTGGAAGTCCAAGACCAAGGTGTTGGCAGGGTGGCTTCTCCTGAGGCCTCTCCTTGGCTTTCTAATGGCCGCCTTCTCCCCATGTCTTCACATTATCATCTGTGCTCACATGCATCTCCTAATCTCTTCTTACGCAGACTCCAGTTGAGCTGGATCAAGGGCCCCCTAATGACTTCACTTTGACTTAAGTCATCTCCTTAGAGACTCCTTCCCCATCTCTAAATATAATCACATCATGAGGGACTGGGGCTTAGGACACTGACACATGAATTTTGGGGGGATACAATTCAGTCCCTAAAGGGTAAGTAGGTGGAAGAATTTTAGTAGGAAGTCCTCACAAAGAAGCCAGGGATTTTTGGTGTTTGTTTGTTTGTTTGTTTGTTTTGCGGTGCTGGGGGTGGAACCCAGGCCCTTAAGCATGCTATGCAAACACTACCACAGAACTACACTCCCAGCCCTAAGAAGCTAGTTTCTGAATGAACCTGTAGAATTGAAAAAAGCAGCCACAAGGGTACCTAGGGGACCAGCTTCCAGGTGCCAAACCCCTGAGCAGCATGGCTCCTGGAACAAATGAGGAAGGAGAAGGAGAGAAGCCGCCACTGGTGTCAGAGATGTGGTGCACCAGGTCACGGAGGCCAAGACTGAGCAAGCTGAGCAGACTGATGGGTCAACAGGGCCACTCTGGCTGCTACCAGAGTGAGGGGTAAGAAAGAGGGATGACAGACCAGGTGGTGCCAGTGGGTGGGGGGTGTTGGGTGCCCACTGTGCTAGCAGTATTTGCTCCTGGCTGAAGGGAGCCTTGGTTACACCCCTCACAGGCAGAGGCTGGTGGATGCACTCAGGATCTGATGAGAGCTGCCCCTGGGAAGAGCTAGGGAGCAGCCAGGGCCTGCAGTTCAACTTCACCCTCTCCCCTCCACCTCTGCAGAGGAACCCCTGGCTTGGAGTCTTTGATGTCACAGGGAACCAGACCTAAAGCAGCAGACCAACATCAGGGGTCAGACCTGGGGTGTTCCAGATGTGATAAAAAACCAGGGTGAATAATTAAATTTGGGGGTAAGTTTATTAGAGTAAAAGACACATTGCTGTTTGTACTCTTCGAAATATTCCCCCTTGCTTTGAACATGCTCATCCCATTGTTCTTGCCACTTTCCAAGCAGTTCTGGAGTCTTCTTTCATGAGTGTCTTTAGTTGCACTGTCATGGCTGCCTTGATGTCCTGGAATCGATTCAAAACATTTACCTTTCATGGTCATTTTGTCTTTGGGGATGGGCCAGAAGCTGCACAGTGCCAGAACCAGTGCATAAGGTGGAGTAGTGAATAAGACACACTGTAATGTTTTTACAAGTCTGTCTTTTTGTTGAATGGCACTGGGCAGCAGTATTTTCTGTTTGTTGCTGGGTTTGTTTTGTTTTATCACACCTCATAAAGTCACAAGAGGACATCAGAACTCATACCTTTCAGGAAGTTCCGGGACAGACTGAGACATGGTCCTCTTTCTGTAGAGCAGCCAGAGTGAAGGTCAGCTGAGGCTGCCTCCAGCTCAGTGCTCCATCATCTGCACAGGCCCAAGAGACCCTGAGCACATGACTTCTGGATTCTGTAGCCACTGTAGATATTCCAGCCTTCTCTGTTCTCCTTTACTTCACACCAAGCCTTGTGCTCACTGGTAGCTCATCAGAGCCGGGTCTCAGGCACAGTGGCTCTCTTCCTCTACCTTCCCCCTGAGCTCTCCCTGTCCTGTTATCTCTCCATTTCCGTCTCCGGATGGCCCTCCCATCGTCCCTCCCTCTCTCTTCCACTACAGGTGGGCACCCCCCTTCCACGCTAGCATCTTACCTCTCCTCCTCTGCACTTCCCCTGCTTGTCGTCCAGCACCTGCAGGCCTAGCCTGTCATACATGGTCCCTGCTGTTCCCTCTTGTTTATTTAGTTTCCCCCAGCCAGGCCTCTGGAGCTAGCACACTAAACGGTACTGCCTGCATTTCACTGCATTTCATCCTTAACTTTTTGCTAGCTGGCTCTTTTCCTCCAACCCTCTAATGAAACTGCAGGTGACTCAAAGGTTGCCAGTACCTTCTCACCAAACCAAGGTTCTCTCTTGAGTCCTCATTCTCATTTACCACTCAACAGCTTCCAGAGCCCTCCGTGGAGCTGCTTCTTGCTACCCTTTCCCTCCTTCTCTCCCTTGAGGTGCAAACACCTACCTCCTATGCATATCTCTTCTGCCTTCCAGAGAGCTGCTGTGTGCGTTTCTGGCCATTTCCCAAGGCTGACTGCCCTAAACCAGCACAACCCTAACCAGACTCAGGAGTCCAGCCCGACCTCACCTCCATCTGGAGTCAAACCAGCCTCTTTTCTGATTCTGCCAGGCTGTGTCCGTTTCTCAAAACCCTGGGGCCTTATTCTTTCTTTGCTGTTCTTTTTGCTTCTGGTGCAGTCAGGCACCAAGAAGCCTTTTGATTTCTTTAGAAGCTCTCCTGCCTTAGGTAGCACAGGCTTCCATCACAAAGTACCACAGATGCAGTGCTTAAAGCAGTACACGTTTATTTCTCACGGTTCTGGAGGCTGGTAACTTGCCTTTTCTGAGGCCCTCTTCCTGGTCTGGGCCTTTCCTTGCCCAGGTGTGGGCAGGGTGGTGGGGGTGTCGAGCTCTCTGGGGTTTCTTCTTATAAGGACACTAATCCTATCATGGCTTCCTGCTCTCATGACCTCACCTAACCTTAATTACCTCCCAGAGATCCACCTCCAAATAGTATCCTGTTGGAGATTAGGACTTCAGTGTACAGATGGGGAGACACCAATGTTCAGTCCCTAACAAGCCCCTGCTTTTTTTGTTTGCTTTGATAGCTTGTTGGGCTCCCTGGCTCCCCAGCCCATGCCACGCTGGACCTTAACTTCCTGCTGTGGCTTACTCACAAGTAACTCACAAGTTACTTACTTACTGACTGGTGTGGTTAGCTTTTCTTTCCTTGCCCAGCTCCTCCCTTCCCCAACTCTGCCCTCTAGGCTCTATGCCACACAAGTGGGGTGTGCCCAACTTTCATGATGTGTAAGCGTCACTTGTTCCCCCAGGTTGTACGGGTGCTCTAGGCAGTGAGCTGGCCTTTTCCTGATTGTCTCCACTTGGTTACTTTCTCTATCTGCTGGGGGTGCCAGTGCCCAGGTGACCTGTGGTCTACAAAGCACTGTGCAGGTAAAGCAATGCTTCTGCTGCTGCCTACCTTCACTGTCCTCTCCAAGACCAGAGGGCAGAGACCAGGAACCCAGCAGGCTCTTGGCTCATTTGAGCCACGTGCATTCCCAGAACCAAAGGGACAGTGACCAGAGTTGCTGGCGCCGAAGATGGGCATTAACACTGCCAAAATCTGGGCAGACCTACCATCACTGGCATGCTACAGCTTTACTGGGAGTGTTTTCTTTTTCTTAGTGGGACATAAAATAGTGACTCATCTTACTGTTGATAAGTCCTAGATTCTACAAACTGTAAAACTCAAGTGCTGGTCTTGAATGTAGGAAAATTTCTAATATATGTACAGTGTTCCCCAATGCAGCACTTTATGTGAGTCTAGGCAGGAAAGAGGAGAGAAAAAATTAATAGATGACTTGGTCCCCTCCCTAAAAGATCCTCTCCTTAATTACTTCCTAAGTCCTGAAGTGGGGCTAAGAGAAAAAGAAATTTTAAAATATTTCTCAAGCAACACATGAGCACGTGAAACGCTATTATCTGGGACCACAGCATTCCAGGATGGCTTCCTGGAAGAAGTGAACTTTGGTTTAAAAGGAAAGGAAGAGTAGGCCAAAGGTGAATCTGCTTGATTTACAGGGAGCACTGTTCTCATGAGGTGGTACTGTCTCCACTGTCCAGAGAAAGGCACTGTTGGGACAGCGTATGAGCATTACCTGGGTTTCCACCATCTCGTGGTTGAATCTGAACATGGGGCTAAAGATTCAAGAAGAGGGGAAGCTCTGCCTGGGTTGTTCATGTCTATGAAGATTGAATCTCTGCTCACTACTGGCCACGGCTGAATGTCTGCCAGGATATCACAATGTTCTGGGGCCTCTGCCTCTTCCGGAGCAAACCCAAAAGACAAATGGCTTGGCCTGGTGTTCTTGTTCTCTGCAACAGAAGGGGTGGGAGACAGAAGCCTGGTTTGGGGGAAGCCTGTTGGAAACACCCTGGTGGAGCACGGGGCGGGGCGGGGGGGGGCATCCACACTAACCCATTACTAGAGAAAGAAACAAAACCTCCAAACCCGCCCCAAGGGAGATTCGAGTAAGCTGGCCACCCCTCCCGCCTTGCAAACCTGTCCAGACAGGCCACCATCGCCCTCGGGGTTGGATCTCAGAGCGAGCCTAGGGCGGCGAGGAGGATGGTGGCCCACACTCCGTGCAAGATACCTGAAGGAGGCTGAAGTGGGAAAGGCACTGTCACTGTCTGATGTGCGACGCAGGTAGCGCTCAGAGACGTTGAAGTCATGCGATCAGTAGGGCTCCTAGTCTAAGGGGTCCCAGTTCTAAGATCACACACTGCTGACCCCCAACGCCGCTGCCTGGTGGACTCCAATCCAGACCGCTACTAAGAGGCAGGCTCTCAGTGCTTATGCATACGAACTCGGTCCTCATCCGCACCCTACAAAGGGCAGCAGGGAGACTGAGGCAGAGTCCCAGTGACCCGCCCAGCGTGGCAGAGAGAGCCAAAAAAGGGAGGCGCAACACCCGGCAGGGGCGGGGAGGGCCGGCCAACACCGGTGGTTTCCAACCCAGCTGGGCTATCCAGGCCCCGCTGCCCATATAAGGCCGTGGGCGTCCAGGCAGGGCTCCAGCCTCATCCAAGCACCCTGCGGGTCGCAGCCTCCTCCGCGGCGAGGAATGTGAGGAATCTCCCTCCCCGACGCCCACCGCGGAGGACCCGCCCCTGGCGTCCCGCAGGATCCCGCGCGCAGCTGCCTCGCCGCTGGGGGGAGCGCGGCGCCCAGGCCGAGCGCCCTCACCTGCCCGGGCGGCGCGGCGGGAGGACGGGGCCCCGGGGCGAGAGGCGGCCCGGAGGCGGCCGGGGAGGAGTCTGGCGGGGCGGGAGCGTCGGCGCAAAGTGAAACTCCCGCCAGTTGCGGGAGCTCCCGGAGCCGCGGCCGGCTGTGCGCCCTCGGGTTGACCCCCTCCGCGCAGCGGCGCCCATGGCCCTGAGCAAAGGGCTGCGGCTGCTCGCGCGGCTGGAGGCCTCGGGCGAGAGCAGCGTGCTGCTGGAGGCGCGCGGCCGCGGCGACTGCCTGCTCTTCGAGGCCGGCACGGTGGCCACGCTGGGTGAGTGCCGCGTCCCCGCCGTCCGGTGCGGGCAGGGACACGCGCAGGGGAGGGCATCTGCCTTCGCCCAGACCATGGAAGCCCCGGCCGGGCAGTCCCGGGGGCGTGGGGACTGCAGGGCTGAGGTTGCGCCCCGGGGCGTGACTTTTTGAAGAAAGTGGTTCAGAGGACGCCGGAGAACACCTCTGGGTTGGCGAGGTCGTGCTCAGGGGTCTCCCGTCGGTGCACCCCCACCCCGGGTTCTGTTCCTGGGGAGCCCGCTGGCTTTTTCATGCCTTTAGGTTGGTCAGGGCACCTTGCATATCCTGACCACCGAGGTGGACTCCAGGTTGATTCATAACCAGCCAGGTGGTGTGCTGGCCTCTCTTCCTGGTGCACCTGTTGATGAAACAGACCAATGATGGCCCTATGGTTTATGTGGCTGGCATCGCTCCCCGAGGGGATGGGACCCAGGCACCGAGACACAGACTCTAGGGAAAGCGCTGATGGCACATCGGTCTTGTGTAAATATTTGGTTGAGAACCTTACTGCAATATATAGAACTTGTAAACAAATATAGTATATGCTGACTTTACTTTTATGCTAGGTGTTAGATGCCAGTCCTGTGTATTGTCACCTATGGGCTTCAGAAGGCTTCAGAAGCCTTGAGATTGGCGCTATGTAAGGACTTTAGAGATATAATCTCAATTTTCACAATTCTTATTTTTGTTGTTTTTGAGACAGGGTCTCACTGTGTAGTTCAGGGTAGCTTTGAACTCACTGTGTAGCCCAAGCAGTCCTCAAACTCATGGCAGTCCTCCTGCCTCAGCCTCCCATGTTCTGGGATTACAGGCATGCTCTACCATGCTGGCTTAATTTTCATAATTCTACAAAGCGCTATTACTATCCTCATATCACCGATGAGCAAACTGAGGTCTGAAGAGACTGAGAGCTTGCCCAGGATCACATGGTCTTCTTGACCCCAGTGTGGCTGTTTGGTTAATGTCACACAATGCGTGGCTTCCTGGTACAGCGTCCCTGAGCCTACCATAGGTGTGGTTCATATTCACCAGAGGGCCTAGGAAGCACCAAAACCAGCCAAACTAGGTGGGACTGTTAGAATTTTAATCGTGAACCCTGGAGAGTAGGTACACAACCATAGGTGTCCAGCAGTACCATCTCCCCAGTACCCTGGCTAAACAAAGTGCAAAGCAGGGTCCCTTCTGTTTAAGTGATCTCAGATGCAGCAGGTACTCACTTGCACGATGCTTTCTACCTGTCTGTAGCTTTGTTTTCTCATTTGTATGCATAAACTGTGATTAGGATATGTGTCTGTGTGTATGTGTGCATATACATGTCTGTGTATTTTGAAGGATAATCTGTATTTCTCCTTCCTCCATTTCACTAACATCTAGTTATCTGGCTTGCTTTCAGTCACTTGATTTTTTTTAAATTTATATATTTATTGGTACATTTTAGGTATACAATACATTTACATTTATCATTGGGTGTTTGTACCTGAACATGATGTATCTTAGCTCTTATTTTTTCCCCCATTACCTAAGCGCCCTTCACCCCCACCACCTTCAGTCACTTGATTGCTGAAACAATGTCTCCAGTATTCTCAGCTTCAAAAGTGTGTAGTGAATTGTGGATAAAATTATTATCAGATTACAGTATTCCAATTTGGGCTCTGTCCTAAAAAGTCCAAGTTTGGTCACTTGTTACAGCCTTGAAAATAAAACCCACAAATTTGCATTCTATTTTAGATGTCTACTTCATACCACATTTTCAGAACCAAGAGATTAATTTCATGGTACAAAACTGGTGTTTCAGAGATTAAAGTGTCCAGTTAAATTACAGCAACATTATGCAAGGTTCATATAAGTTTGGGTTCCTTTGAAGACACTTAGAATGAAAGGCTTTTTTTTTTAGAAGCGAAGACTTTAAAATGATTAATGGAAGTGATATAATGCATATCTTCCATTAGGTAATTAAGCTAGATGCCATACATTGCATTGGCTGTGCAGTACGTTTCGCTGAGAGGCTTGTGAGGCTTACAACAGGGAGGTGTAAAAGGAATTGGCACAGCCTCAACTCACATGCAGCCCGCATTTGTCTACGTTTGTTTTTCAGTAGACCTTGAGTCGAGTAGTTAAGTTTTTCAAGTCTGCTTTTAATTAAATGAAATGAAACTATTTTTAAAATGCAGCTGTAGCATCTGCTGGTATTGTTCATCCAGAGGATTGAAAGAGAGAGCCTTCTGTTGGTAGGAAGTTCATTCCAAACTTTTAAAAGATCCCAAGTGCATCACTGTTGGGTAGAATGGGTCTGACCTTGAAAAGCCAAAGTGCTCTGAGCGCCAACTATGTTGCTTTCTTTTCCTCAACAAAGTCAAGAGTGTCTTCCTTTTCCATAAGAAGGTCTCAGTCTCTCCTTTTGGAATGACATTACTCTCGTGGCAGCCTAATCCTAACCTTTCCTTCATGGTAAGAGGTGGGCACTGCTTCCTTTTCTCTTCATCTGTGTTTTCCTGTGCTGGATGTCCCAGTAAGTAATGGGAGCCTAGAGGCTAACTCCGTGGGTCATTGCCATGTGGGTAATGGTCTTTCCCAGTCCCCAGCTCTGTGGCAGATCCCCCTGCTGCTTTTACTGGGAGCCACTGGTAATTTAGACAGCCCTAAGCACACCCCCTTCCAACCCTGGTTACCGGCAAGTTCCTGGCACTTTTCACTCTGGAGGACCCTAACTTAAGGACTTAGCAGTTCTTTAGTGTTTTTAGGCACTGTGTGAAGACAATCAGGATCTTGAATTGGGTAGTGAGTTTAGGAAAAGCTAATGATTCATAATTGGTTGGTGATTGGACTCTTCCCATTGTAACTTGTTCTAACCCGTCCTTACCTGTTCTAACCTGTCCTCCTGTTCTAACTTGAGCTTCATAGATGGTCCCCATACAAGACCATCAAGCCTGCTTGCAGGAGAATTGTTGAAGGGATAATTCCACATTCCTACTTCTAACAGAATTAGGTTGAGAAACTTTTATGTGAATCAGTGGGGCCAGGAATTCCAGAGACAGAAGAAGCAAAGATATTAGCACCAATTGAAATGGTTTTCACAGTCTTCTTGGTATCTCAATTCAGTGGTTGGAGCCTGCTTCTCTAGTGGTAAAAAATCAAAGCCTGCAACAACTTCCCTTGCCCACGATCCAGAATGATCTTACAGATGTTCTCTCCTTCCCACATTGGGACAACAAGCACTTGCTGGCTTCTGTCTCTTTTAGACATAGGGTGGACCAGATGCAGGAAATGTGCTGATCAATAAAGGATTTCATTTGTTTTCAGAGTGGGCGCCAGTGCTCCAAAGTTCAGTGTTCTTCACTCCTCCCAGACAGGGTGGCTTGAGAGTTGTCAGTATGTTTACACATGGGTCTATGAGGGTGGGTGAAACTCTGCCTCTTCCTGCCCCAGCCTTGTTGCTGTTGACTGGGCAGCAGGGAGAGAGAGAAGGGGCAGAAGGCTTGAGAGGCTTAATCCAACAGTGAATGTTCCTAAATTTCTTCCAGCTTCTGGGTGAAAATGCTCTGTGTAAACAGCAGGCTTCTGTGTCCTCCCAGCTGCTGTGTTTGTGTAGAGCCACAGTCCCTCTAGGTTTGATTGGTGAGGAAGCCTTAGAACGTGGCAAGGCTCGGTCTGAACTTATGTCTTGGTCACTTTCTTGGGTTGCATGGCCCAGATTTGTGTGGTCACTCACTTGAAGCTTGACCTGCTAAGAGCATCAGAGAAAACCCACTAGGGGCCATTCTAGAAGCTCCCCCTACAGTGGAGGAGGAGGGTGGAGGTGTCAGCCCCAAACTTGGCCCTGTATCACTCATGTGCGGGTCCTTTCCTGGTTGTAGGTTTTCTCAGCATAATGTTCACAAACATGCAAACCGAGTGAGTGTGTGCTTTTTCCTGTTGTAAAATTGTGATTTCAAGTTTTGCCAGGCCCTCCGTTTGGCCATATGTTTCAAACACTGTTTTAACCTTTAATGATGAAAATGTTCAAATATATACAGAAGTAAAGAGGAAAAAAAAATCAACTTCTGTGTTCTCATTTTTTTCACCCATCCCCACCTTTTTAAAGTATCTCCCAAAATTTAGTTTGTTTGATGGCAGGAAAGATTTGTGTGTGTGTGTGTATGCGTGCGTGTGTGTGTGTGTGTGCATATGTGTGTGTGTAGTATTCAGGATTGGACACACCCTGACACACTCTGAGCCATACCCCTCAGCCTTTTTTTTTTTGTTTTTGAATCAGGATCTCACTAAGTTGTTTAGATGCCCAGGCTGGGCTGGAATTTAAGATCTTCCTGTCTCAGCCTCCCAGAGTGCAGGGATTACAGCCATGTGCCACCATGCCCAGCTAAAATTTTAATTTATTTGGATTTTTTTCTGGCTTGCATTAAATATGTAAGTTCAATTTTAAAAATTTGTCAATGGAAAAATTATGATTGTATATATTTGTAGGGTAGAAAGTGATGTTATGATGCAATGATTAAATTAAACTAAATAACATATCCATTGCCTCCATTTCTTATGATTTTCTGTGATGAGAACGTTAGTGATTTTGAAATATCCAGTACATTACTGTTCACTTCAATCACCAGGCTGTCAGTTCACAGCACACATAGTGGTATGACTAGAATCTGAGGTTCTGGCCAAGCTATATTTTTCAGAGCAGTGGCTGCTTGGGAGGAGTAAACCCCAGCAGGAAGAGCAGGAGGCTCTCCACACCCTCCATTGGATGGTGACCACAGTGGGCTCAGAGGAGAAGGTCTGAGGCCTTCAGCAGCACCACCCCTAGCCCAGGGCCAGAGACGGGTGAGGGACTGGGTTTGTCCTTTCTGGACCACAGTCTTGCCACCCAGCACCCTTTGAGTTGTCATGCAGATGACCAGCCTGCTTTCTACTGTGAAGACCACCTCCTCCCAAGGCCCCCGACCAGCTGTGCAGTGGAAGTTTATACCCCAGCCCACCATGCGTGAC